AATAAACATTTAATTTGATTTAGAAAAATAAATAAATTATTATATTTAAAAAATAATAAATGAATAATTATATTTTTAAAATGATTATTTAATACTAAGCTCAAAAAAAGTTTTATTTTTGGATAACATACAGTATTTTCTTAGATTTTATATTGCTTTTTTTAAGTGCACAATCAATTTCTGCGCAACTATTCAATCAACATTATAAGAAAATTTAATATAACTGATTAATAAACTTTATTCTTTTGAGTAAATAATCATAAAAAATATATTATTTAATTTTTTTACTTTCTTAATATATTAATTTATTTATTATTCTAATCAAAATAATTATTTATTTATGTTAACTGTATTATTGTATCTTAATTTAATTAATAAAATCAAAAAAGTCTAAAAAATATCAGAATAATAAGAGACACAAACGGTAATAATAATAATAGAGTAATAGTAATAAAACTAGTGGGGTGCATGGTATCGTGCCTTAAGGCTAATTGCTGGAACTTCCAGTACCGTAATTGAAATCTTGGTACGGAACCCTAAAGAATTTACACAAAATGTTTACACATTATTAAAAGCTATATAAAATATCTGATAATTTGTTGTTTATATGTCCAATAAACATTTTCGACCGCCAAATGACATTTTTATTAACTTTATTTTTATTGAGAGTATTTTACAACCACTGGACCTCCTTTTCCAAAAATTTAATTAGTTCTTCATCTTGTCAATACAAGTAAAATGTTTTTTAAATGATTAAAATCGATCGCTCCGTTATCTTAAAAACTGAGTTACCGTTTTGGACACTTTTTGCCCCGTATCTTCGCAACAGCTAGACCTGCCCCCGCCAAAAACTAATCAGCACGTCTCCTTATCAGTGCGAATCGAATGTTTTTTGAATTATTTAAATCAGTTGATTGGTATTCCCGTTGACGAAAATTTGTATCCGCACAGACACGCGCACACACATACACATACACACACATATATCCATTTTTTCAAGGTATGCCAAAATTTTCAGAAACCTCTGAAACGTAAAGATATAAAAAAAAAATCATTTCGATTTTTTTGCGATTACTAAACTTACCCTACGGGAAGTTAAAAAAAACAATAATGGGGTTGATTCAATAAATATTTAATTTGATTTAAAAAATAAATAAATTATTATATTTGAAAAATAATAAATAAATAATTATATATTTAAATTATTATTATTTAAATTTTATTTTTAATAACATACAGTATTTCCTTAGATTTTGTCTTGCTTTTTTTTAAATGCAATTTCTGTGCAACTTTTCAATCAACATTATTTGAAAATTTAATATAATTGATAAATTAAACTTTATTATTATGAGTATTAAATAATAATCAAAAAAAATATTATTTATTTTTTTACTTTCTCAATATAATAATTTATTATTTATTATTCTAATCAAAATAATTATTTATTTATGCCTACTGCATAAATACTGCATGATAGTATTTTAATTTAAATAATATATTATTTTAAAAAATCAGAAAAGTCTGAAAATATATCAGAAAAGTAAGATATATAAAAGGCAATAATAATAAAAGAGTCGTAATAATTAAAGATAATAATAGTAAAAAAGTAAGAAAATAATAGTAATAAATATATAGAAAATAATTTAAAATTATTCAGTATTGTTCAAAGATCAATTAAGTATGTGTCTTTTTATTAGATCATCTCTATATAATTGAGGAAACTATACTATCAAATCGAACTTGCATTTTGGTAAAAATTTTCAAAGTTTACAACGTAGGTATACGACACAAATGAAGAAAATATCATATATAGTCAAAAATTGATCATGTGCTTTTTATAACATTAAAAACAATTGCAGAAAACGTAACTGACAAGAAGACCATTAATCTTATGTCAATTATCACATCCAGATAGTTTTATTGCTCAATGCATTTAACGAATCTTCTCATGTATTTTCATATCTTTTAATTCAAGCGATGTTTACCTTTACAAACCCAACTAATCGATTTGACGAAACACTTGCGTTTTCACTTTCGTTTCGGGCCGATGTTAATTTTTGTGAAGAGCGAATTATTAAAATGAGCACAGGGTGGAATAATACTTTTTATGTAATACCATAACAGATTATTCTTGAGAATTATTAACAGATCAAAAATGCATTTCAATCGCTATATTAATTGAGTATTCGAGTTTTCAGATTTAGGTACACTACACTAAATCTTTACTATATTTTTTATATATAGGGTATAATATCAATAAAAAATATGAATTTCATTTAAAAATTTATTTTACATCCATACGTTTCGGCTATAATCCTAGCCTTCATTCAGTTGAAACTAAAAATAAAATTAAAAACTAAAATAATTGAATTGGAGAAAAGCAATATATAATATATGTAATAATCGAATGTATATCGAAAAAAGTAATAAAAGCATATATGTAATAATCGAATATCCACAAAAAACTAAAAAAGTAATATCCAATGTCCAATTTCTCGTTTGGTAACATTGACATTGGATTCTGCAATGTCATAATAGCTTCTTCTTCAATATTATTATTATGTAGTGAGTTCTAGAAACGCATAAATGTTTCCTAAAATCTTTTAATTTTCTGTCTGATCTATGTGTTTTAGAAAATTTAAAATGTCAAATCCCATGTCGAAACGATAAATCGCCATCTGAATCATTGTGTGGCCATGGTAAAGTCATATAATTTTGACACCGGTTTGTTAATATATTGAAAGTTAAATTGTTTAAGTTTAAATATATGAAAGTTTTTGTATTCTTATATATACATTAGGGCGGGTAGATTTAAAGGTAACTTAGGCACATATAATATTAGGATTCTAGGGATCAAAATAAGATACTTTTCTTAAGAAACCATACCTCTAAAATAAATTGTTATGTCCCATGCATTGTCCCATACAAATCGACCCACTCTAATATACATTTATTATTATACTTAACATAATATGCCCAACAGTTCTCATTTGTTAAATAAAATAAAATAATATTAAAATAATATAATGCACCTCCGCAAAAAATTATCTGGTAAATTATAATTTCACCTGAATTGAGGATATGTATTTTTGGTTTATATACAGGGTGTCTCAGAACTTGTAGTCAAGCTGAAAAAAATATTTGAAAAAAACAATTCTCTCGCATTCTTTGAAAATTATGAGCTTTTTATTCCAACTTAAAGGCTCTGGTGGAATTATAATCCTTATTCGTTTATTGTGGTTAATTTTTACTAAGCTTCTTTATTTAAACTTTGGAACTGTAATTGTGAATAACATTTCCAGGACCTCAATCAAATAATACAATTGTCCCAAGTTGTCAAGAATTAAGACCTTTTGTTGAACTTTAAATTTAAAATTTTTAAAACCGATCGACTTTGAGAGGGCCTTCTTTAAAAAAATGTACTAAAGTGTTTCAGCAAAATTCATGAAAAATTGTAAAATACTTAAAAATTTTATTATTGAAAATTATAAAATAAATAAAATAAAATAAATATTAAAACCGGAAAATGACATGATTTTTGCTAGTACATTTTACTAATTACTTTATTTACTAATTGCTAGTACGAATTGTATCGGTTTGGCTTTATTATTGTAGATTATAAACTGTACAAACGCTCATCACAAATGCAAATTAGTTTTGCAATTAGTATATATAATTCATACCGCAGAATTTGCACACGTTTTTACTAGAGTGAGATACGTAAAAATATAATAGAAATATATTTAGTAAATTTATATAGATCTATATAAATGTATATAATCTAGATTATAGCTATAATTCTCAAACGATATATCATAAGTACAGCTCTATTTTTTCAATTTACTACAAATGATAATTACATTAAAGCTCGGGCTTTTTAAATCATGTTTAACCTTCATAAAAGATCAATTACTAAGACAATAGCAAATTATTCTCATTATTCGTGCAATTAACTCAAACAAGTGGAGTGACGTGCGATAAATCAAGCCACCCAGTCAGTAAATTGCGTAAAAGTAGCGCATCTAATTTTTTTACACATTTATAAAATATTTATTTATAAATATCAATTTTATTTTTAAAAACTTCATTCAAGCCAAAGGCGTAGTAATGGAATAACTTACTATATATGATTGTTTATAAATTATTACAGTTATTCTGTTTATGTTGTACATTTGCCAGTAATAGGTTGAAATTTGTTGGTAGAGAAACTTAGTTTTATTATTTATTTCTACAACTTAGAGAATTCTCTGCAAAATATATTAACCCTTTCCACTCGCTCATTTCGAGATTTATATGAAGTTTGTTGCCGGAGCGGCGGCATCCGAGTGGAAAGGGTTAATATAAGTTTTTTTGTGCGCGCTGTAAATATAAATCAATAAAATTAAATTTAGCTTTAGAATATAAACTACAGCCCACTAATTTCAAACTGTTGTTGCGACAGTTGCCTTGAATCTATTACTCAATAAAACAAATTCTAATTGTCATACGCACATTGTGGGCTTAGCAGAATCCAATAATCATTCTGCATTGTTCTTTCTAAAATCAATTGTTTCCAAAGGGACATAAATTCTTATTTGTTTTGAGGCGCCAAGATTGAATGTTTGTCGGCTTATTATGTCATGAAAACCCTCATTCTTTCAAATGACACATTATGCAAATTATCTAATGGATATTTAAATATAGCTAAATACTTTCTAATGGTTATTACTGATGTCTAGGTGCCAGGTATAACATTATGCTTTGTGTAGATGTACTTCTATAGGGAATATTGCTAACTAACTAAAATCATTGATTAATTAACAAAAATGTACATATATACATTATTATTTTTACATACTCAAGGTATGGCATACATCCAGGGGTGCATTTAGAAATTTAGCGCCCAGGGGCACTGACGAAAATGTCGCCTCATCACTGAAATTTTACTTAAATAGTTTTTATGTCTCATTTTTCTAAAACAAAAATATCTATACGATAGCAAAAAATTATTACCCTTTTATGTAACAAAATATTCATATTTGTTCTAACAAAAAAAAATTATAAGTCTTTACATTTTGCACTAAGGACTTTCGTCACAGGCACATTTGACGAACTTCTTAACTTCCCGTAGGATACGTTATTTGTAGTTAAAATTAAAAATTTAGTAATCGCAACAAAATTGAAAATGAAACTTTTTGTATATCTTTACGTTTTAAACGTTTCTGAACATTTTTTCTCACTTTCCAAATTTGCCGCCATGGGCACTTGCCCTGACTGCCCTACTGTAAATCCTAGGCTAAGTATATGCATAGAGTTTATGTATTTACAAACAATTATTATATTAATTTTTGAAGAAAGTAAATGTCTAAACTCACATATAAAATTTATATATAAAATTATAATTTTATTCACTATCACTATTATTCTTTTACAGTTTTGTCACTAGGAGGTGGCGGATGTCCAGAAAAATTCGGTCGTTATCCTACTAGTCAATGTGATGCTTACATCGAGTGCAAGGTGAATTTCTAAAAAAAAAAACATTTTACTAAACTTAAAATTTAATTTAGAGGATGAAATAGAAGATAATTATAATATTATTGATTAAATTCCCTTTGTATCGTTTTATTATTGACAAGTGATATTATTTGGTTAGGATGGTGTACCAGAAGAAAAATTGTGTCCTGATGGTCTATTATTCAATAAAGATGTTGGACCATATACTTATCCTTGCCAATACCCAATTGATGTAACATGTGAAGGACGTTCTGGACTCCGTAAGTTTTTAATAATTTCCTAATTTTTTTTCTATTTTTTTTCTAAATTAAGTCAAATTTAACTACCAATCATTTATTGTATATATCTAAGTAGGGCTTAATTAAATTATAAAAAAATCAAATAAAAATACTTTGAAGATTATCTTTATATTTTTTTTAGTAAATTACATCAGAAAAATTCAAACCAATTTTATTTCCTTTCTTATTTAATTTTCTTTCCTGGTTTTCTGCAGAACAAGCACAGCCAACCGATGAATGTCCACACCAATTTGGCTACTATCGTTTAGGGGATTCCAAAAATTGTGGTCAATTCATGAACTGTGCAAATGGGCGCGGTTACGTATTTGACTGTCCAGAAGGGCTTGCTTTCAACCAAGCGACTTACCAATGCGATTGGCCAGATCTTGTAGCCGAATGTGACGCCGAAGGTAAAATAATATTCTAATTGATATAAGGTCACAAACATAGATAAATAAGCATAAATGGCTAATTTCGTCAGCAAACCTTAATTTAGCCGGCAATCGCGTAGTCTAGTTTTGCATTTGCCCTTAAGCCATAAAATTACTGAACATTGTATATCCTTTACACTTTTTTAGTTTCAATTTATATAAAACTAGTATTACCATTATGGAAATCATAATATATTCACAGGCCGCAAAAAAAGGCGCAGAGGGCCACCTTATCCGGGAAGCTATCCTCAAGATGAGAACTTATTATAAAGAAATGAAAACTGTTCATTAAATATTTTCCGTTAAAATTTTAGAAGAAAATTGTTACTTTAAATTTACCACTGATTACTTTACTCGTAATTAAAAATGTTTTCATCTGCCTCAAAATACGACAAACATTTAAAATGATTTATATTTACATATATTTGAATATATAGCTATAAATATGTAATAAAATAAATATGTATACATATATATGTATATATAAACCGATTAACATATAAATTGCAATATAAATATAAGATTTTTATTATTTGAAAATAAATAAATAAATGAAGCAATATAATGTTTTTAGCATTTCTGGGATTCAAATGCCCACCTGTTCCACACACACCTGGTCTTGGTGAACCTGAACATCAATTCATCAGGTAATGTTATAATACTGCGTTTTATGTGTCTTATAACCATCTTATAACTGTTCTTAACGACTTTATGTGTTTAAATGACTTTAAAAAGTATTCACGATAATCTGAATCACTTTAAGACTTTTGAATACAATTTCTAATCAATCAAGAAGTTTTTTACATTCAAAAGAGTTGTAAACGTTCATTAAATTTGTTTTGGTTAGCTTTTATTTTAGTGCAAATCAACTAATTTGCATTTTAAAATTTTATTTAGGTCTCCTCACGATTGCCAACATTACTTCTTGTGCGTTACCGGAAAACCACGTCTCTACAACTGCGGCGAAGGAAGTGCCTTCAATGAGCTGATCAACAGTTGCGATGGTATTGAAAATGTCACCAGTTGTGCTGGAACCCACCGAAATGCTGGTGCCCAAGTACACAATTTAGGCGGCCAACAACAATCAAACTTTGGTCACCAACAATCAAGTTTCAGCCAACAACAATCGTCATTTGGTCAACAGCAATCTTATTTCACTAATCAACAGAGCAATTATAGAGGACAACAACAACAAGGATTTGGTGCTCAACGAGGGAGCCACAGATTCTAAACGAAATGTTTATTTTATATAAAACTAAGTTATTTTTTTATTAAATTATAATAATTAAAATAAATAAGTATATATATATATATATACATATAATGTAGTGAATCATAAATCTAGTCTTAAGATGTTTCGAAAGAATGAAAATTTCATTATATTTTATTGTATATTTTATGCGTTTATAAAATCAGTTTATCTTGCCGATAAAAATTTACTTACTTTGTCACTATAAAAAGTACTACTCTGTCACTTTTATTTTCTATATTTTATCAGAAATTATAATTATTCAAACACAATAAAGAAGAGATTAGAAAATAATTTAATAATAATTAATAGCATTTTTGATATAAATATATATGTAAATGGATTATTTATACATGATTTATAAATTAATTATTAATATACCTTCCTTAATTATTATTATGTTTGATGATGATGTTAAGGTAACTGTGAATCAGTTTTTCGTGAAATCCCTAAAACTATTTTTGTTTCTGATATTTTCTCTAACATTATTGAATTTACTACAAAGGGTTTTGTCAAAGATTCAATTTCTTTTAAAAAAATATATATAGTTACATATAAATACTGAATTTCAATTTGTTTTAACAGTGATGAGAATATTTCAATATAAAAATTTAAATTTGCCTCTCTATTGAGTAACGCGTGAAGTTGTGCCAAAGTGTCAAATTGTCAAATTGTCAAATTAATCTAGGTAAATATCTACTGGTCTCTATGTTTTCAAGTTATAAAAAATACTTAAAAACACTTGCTTGACATCAGACGTAAAGACCGATGTTTTTATTTCGCGACAGTGTAAATTTTTACACAAATATTGATGCTTGTTTTAATATTGATTAAAGTGCGTTATTGATTTTTTTCATCAGTTTTATTTCGAAAATTTGAGAATGTCAAAGTCTGAGAAAGAAAATACTAAAAATGAACCCGTCAATGGAATCGTTCAACCACCAGTTGTTCCATCAGACCGACCGGGACGATTGACGAATCAACTTTTATTCCTATATAACCCTGTTTTAAAAGCTGTATATAGTCATCGGTATGCTTGGCCATTTCATCACCCTGTAGATGCAATACAACAAAATTTACCTGTAAGTGATGAATATAAGTACCATGATTTAATTTGTTCAAGATGTTTGTTGAATATTTGTTTGTACAGTCCTTCCTATCAACTCTTACGGGCAATTGGCAATACTTGGCCAACTTTCTTTGCATGCTCTGTGCAATATGTTCATCAAACGTTTTTATATAATGTTTGAAGTATTTATAAACATTTCATTCTTTATTCATTTAGATTGATTTAGTCCGTGCCTTATCTCAAACAACATCTGAACCACTTAACAAATTTTACTTTAGTTAAACCAATTACGATTGTGAATTATTGATATTCGTACTTTATCTGCTTTAAATTAATCTTCTGTCTTTGCATAAAACCTGAGTTTTTGTATGTTCATGAAATATTCAATTGGTTCCAGTATATTGTAACATATTATATGTTCATATGTCATGTTTCAATAGCCGTAAGTTAGAATTTATTATTTAAAAATACATTTGTTTTAGGATTATCATGATCTTATAAAAAATCCTATGGATCTAAACACAATAAAGAAGAGATTAGAAAATAATTATTATTGGACAGGAAAAGAATGCATTCAAGACTTCAATTATGTATTTTCAAATTGTTACATATATAATAATGCAACTGATGATGTTGTTCATATGGCACAAGCAGTCGAAACATTATTTTTAACAAAGGTAAAGTATGTACTAATAGAAAAAAAAAATTACTTTCTAAGCTATTCTATGTAGTATTAAAGTATTTAATTCCTTATTCCTTATGATTACACAATAGCATTGGCAAAAATATAATTGAATGTGATTAAATACATTAAAGATTTGATTAATCGTACTTAAATTTTAATTTGGATGTTAATCAAACACAGTTTTGAAATTGAAATATGACCTAGTTAAATAAATCATTGATACTAATTTAAGGAAATACGCTATTTATTTATTAACTAAATTTATTCAAAAAAAATATTGTTGCAGGTTTGTGAAATGCCAAAAATTGAAATAGAAGTAGAACGATCTTCATTAAAAATTTGGAAACCTAAAGATTAAAGACGAGAGATACCAGCTTAATGAAATTTATTCATTTTGTTGCTTTTGTTGTTTATAAACAGTATTAGGTAAATTTTATTTTAATAGGATGAAAGCTGAATTTACATTGAATAGAATTTACCTTTTAAGTACATTTGGTGATTAAATCAATAGTGATCTGTGGTTACTTTGAAATTCTTAATATCTTAGTTTTTTATTTTAAACATAATTATTCCATAACTATATAGAAATACTTGAAATCATTTGAATTAATGAAGTAAAAAAATTTAAGACTTATTTAAATTTAAAAATATATTTGATGATATTCAACAAACCTTATAAAAACTGTTATAGCTAGTTTCTATTTTTAAAAGACTGTTGTTGTAATATTTATGTCAAGTTAAGTTTTGTGTATACATTTTTGTATTGTTACTAATGTCTTATTATATTATAGTTGCATAATCGTCTTTTAGATGAATAAAAAATCTTACAGATGACCAGATATGTAGATCAATCTATCATTTTAACTAAAATTCCCAATAATAATAATGTGTCTTGTGAGTACTAAAACAGCAGTTGCATATTTTACTGTATTCTAACAGTTTGTTATTAAATACTTTGAAAAAGTTTTTTTTGCTATAGGTAAAATGTTTGGCTGTGTAATAGCATTGTCACATGCTCTGCAATATTTTATTCTCTATAGATCAAAAAGTATTTACAATGCAGATGTATAATTCGCTTTGTTGATATTCAAAACTATGTGCACATATTTCAAGATAATGTTTATTTTCATTAACTTTTTGATCTGAATATTATATTTACTCATTTATCTAGATTTATACTTCAATACCAGATACATCTGTTGCCATATGAATTCCTATGAAACTAGGTTACAATAAGATTACAATGATTCACATATGCATAAAAATTATTAATAATATTACTTTATTATTATTATTTTAATAAACTTATTTTAATAAAGTAAACATGAATTTGTATCAATTAAGTACAACAAAGTGTAAATAAAAAGTTTTTTTGTGCTAGGAAATTTTTGTCTTTTGCTTATGACTGTTGAAAATGAACAACAGAAGAGTTGTATTAGTATTATTGTATATATATATATATATATATATATATATATATATTGTAAGACACATTGATGGGGAAAAAAGTAAAATTTTTAACTATTGGAAGGAAAAGTTTGTTTTTGAAAATAAAGGGATTTAATAATAATAAAAAAAATCTTCATTCACTTTTTGAACCTTATCAACTATACATATTATTTATTCTTCAATTCGCCAGAAAATCTGACTTCCTAATTTTATGTTTTCTCGACGTTACAAGTCATTTTGAATCGTTCAAAATTCGAGAGCGAGAACCTAATGAAATAGATTAAAATTACGAGTAAAATAATATATAATTCTATATGTGTGTTTATATAATTTTATTGAGATATAGATCAAATTTAATTTGTGCAAATATTCGCCTAACAGTTCTTTAACAAATGTTGAACATAGATAAATAAGCATAATGTTGAACATATTCGGAAAAGTGTTTACAGATTTCAAATTTTTAACAAACTATTTTAAGTTTACATTCATTGTTCATTGTTGCCAACTTTTAAATCAAAATATAACAATATATTTGACAGCACGAATAGAATGTAGTAGAATCTTCTTGAAAATTCCTGATCTTTTGTTGTTGTTGTTTGATTGCGTTATATTATGTTGAAGTGTGGTTGAAATAGTTGTCTATATGCTATATTTGTGAAGGTTTATCTGTACTAGCATAATAATGTTAGGAGTAATAGTTTCAGGACGACTTGTATGTACACTAGTGTTTAAAAATAGGTTAATTAACATAACTTTCATTTAAATCTCACGGAGTTGAAATAAAAATTTTACTCTATGTAAAAAAAATTAAAGCTTTGTAATATTAGTCAATATATACGGAATTTTATTTACACATTCAAATGAGGCATAAAATATATAATATTAGCAGTTAAAATATCATTATTCTTTTTTTATAATGCAAGTGGTACAAATTACTATGTTTGTTACTACATGATGCGTTTGATGCTTATTCAATACATTATACATACATTGAAAATTTATGTCAATATGATAAAATATTGTATTTTTATATTTTTATTATCTGACATTTCTAGGTACAAACAAACTTCCAACAAGTAGGAGAAAGTCAGTTCTTAATTAATATTGAGGATGCTGACAATATAAATCATTTAGTTGTTTTTTTAACCGGGACTATACCTCTGCCAGACAGTTATGCTGCGTCAGGTAAACATTTAATACAAATATTTCAAACGGAATAACATTAATTCAAGCAGATCATACTAATATATGTTTAAATTTCAGTACATTTCAGTTGGCCTGACCCTACAGCCCCACCAAATTGGCAATTACTTGGATATATTTCAAACACTAAACCTTCTGCTATATTCAAGATCTCTACTTTGAAAAAGCTAAATGAGATGGAAAGTTCTAATTACAATTTGTTTGGTAATCAACAAATTTCACATATTGCCCAGATAGGAGTTCAAATCGAACCAGAAGCAAATGTATTGCAGCAAACTACGGCAACTGTAAGATACAATATAAAAAATTACATTCATGTAACTGTATCAAATATTATTCTAATATATCTTTTTTACAGGCCAGTACGAAGTCATATCTAACATTTGGTCAGAAAATGCTTGAAAACTTTTTTAATTATGTTAGTAGTTTTGCTATTACACAAAGTAATATGGAACCCAATCCGCAAGAAACCTATGTGCCCTTATCAACACTACAAAAGTGGTATACCAATTTTGAAAGAAGACTTGAACAAAATCCCAATTTTTGGAAATCTTGAAAATAAAATATGAGGTTTTATTAATTTTTATAAGTTAGAATTTTCTTAATTAAGAAAATTTTGGCATATAAATAAATTGTAAATAAATAAATATGTTTAAGGCGAGAAATTGTATTTTAAATCATTAGTTTTATTTACAGCAAAGATTTGCGCGTAATCTAATAAGCAGTGCACATATCGTCGATAATTTTGAAATTTTACAATTTGAAAGAACCGCCATATTTCGATTGGTTGACAAACACACAGGCATGAAACCTAAAAATATTAAATATCAATATACATTTTTGATTTGGTACATAGCCTAACTTTGCACGTGCTGTCAAGTGAAGAAAACAGCAAGATAAGACAAGTTTAATTTAAAACATGGGTAAAAAACGTAAACACACTAAAGAGGATGAATTTGAATTTGATCCCCTTCCCAAACATTTAGTGACTGCGCATTTAAAAAATCAAGAGAAGCGATTAATAATAATTCTCGAAGGAGCACAACTAGAAAGCGTTAAGGTAATATGACTTTAAAGAAGGTTTTTAGTATGTTATAATATATATTGATTATTTTTATACAATGCGACAGGTGGGAAATACGTTTGAACTATTGAATTGCGACGATCATGCACATATATTGAAGAAAAATAACCTAGATCCTGGTGCTTGCCGACCAGATATCACACATCAAAGTTTATTAATGTTAATGGATAGTCCTCTTAATCGAGCTGGATTATTACAAGTATATATTCATACTCAAAAAAATGTTCTAATTGAAGTAAATCCACAAACAAGAATTCCAAGAACTTTTAAGCGATTTGCTGGGCTAATGGGTATGCATGAATTTCCAGAATATTTTATATAATAATTTAAATTTTAATTTCATATAATTTAACTTTTTACAGTTCAACTTTTACATAAGTTTAGTATACGAGCATCGGATGGACCTGTGAAATTATTAAAAGTCATTAAAAATCCAATCACTGATCATTTACCAGTAGGTGTTAAAAAGATTTTGATGTCATTTAGTTCTACAAAAGTATCAAATTGTAGAGAACTAGTACCTACAACAGAAGATCCAATAGCAATAGTTGTAGGGGCATTTGCTCATGGAGTTGCCTCTACTGATTATGCAGAAGAAACAATTTCTATCAGCAATTATCCTCTATCAGCTGCACTTACATGCAGTAAACTGTGTACAGCATTTGAAGAGGTGTGGGGTGTGTGTTAATAGTAATTATAAAACATAATTTAAAATAAATAATAATGAAATAAATTTGAAATAAATAAATTCCTGGAAAATTTTCTTTTATTCATCTTTATTTTCAAATTTCCCGCGGCTGCCATTTTGAAACTAAACGTGTTCGCGGAATTTTATATAATGATGACGTAGTAGCACACGCATTAACTAAATTAAATCGTATAATAATAATATAAATGCACATGTAATCAAACGATAACAAATTACTACAAATTAACGAAAAAGTGTACGCTGGTTGTTATGGAAATGTGCTGTAAATATAATTTCCGCCATTAAATTATTTCTATAGGACTAACAACGCCATTGTGAATTTTATTGATAGAATTTTGTGTATATGAGGCTGATCTAAAATATGTGTTTGTTGTAAATAATTAATGATAATAAAAATGTGTATAAATTAACTGCAGTGTTGTACATTTATTTTATCCGTGTTTGTAATATATATTGCATTATACAATCATAGTACATGGCCATCACAGCCGCCATGTTAAATTCTCTGTTGAAATGAACTGTATAAAATCTTCGAAAATATTTAAGAATGATTACCATCAATGCACAAAAAGTTGTGAATTGTGTTTGTTTTAAATAATTATTTAGTTTTAGTGTGCCAGTTAAAGAATTATTGATATGATTTAGGATATATCGTTAAGAGTAATGGACCTACTTTAACATAGTCCGACGTCGCCATCGCGGTAGTTTGTCGCGGCGAGTAGAGCCCGTCTGTAAAGTTGCTTGTGTTGTGTTGCTCCGTGTTTTTCCTCATTTCTATGTGGATTTTTACCCTAAAAACACAGGTAAATGGAGCAAAATTACGTAAAATTCGTGATTTATATTTTTCTTATTTTAATAATGGTACAGGCGCACGCATAAATGTGTAATACGAATATTTTACGTCTAGAAGTCAATTTTAGAGAGATGCTACATTGCCCGCCATATTGGGGAAAATTATTACTCGGGCTTTATATGTATTTCATAGATATAATAATGTTTACTTCAGAGAAAAATATGTGTAAATCATATTTATATTTTTATTGTGAAAAGTGACATGAATTCCCGCCTTTGTGGTATACATTTTAATTTACAAGATCCATTGTATGCAAGGACGGTTAAGCCAAGGTCTTTATTTTTGTTGAAACATCGTATTTAGTGGCTAAATTCTTAAGTTCGTTAGTTTAAAATGTGTAATTTTTACAAAATTGTCTCTAACTGTTCGTTTTTACATGTTTGAGCTTCGTGATGTTTTGGTTTTTGTATAAATGTCAACTTAGTACGGGTCGGAAGAATAGCTTCATCGCCTCCTACACCTCAAGTTACTTGTTCACACGGGAGGGGGGTGTGGCAATTTATCGGCTTTCATTTACTATAAAACTACAAAAAAGTATTTTTCTTTAGTATTTCTTCAATTTTGTTTAATAACTTGTTTGTTTACATATATTTGTACACACAACCATAAAAATAAAGAATGTTTGAATAATGGGTTTTGTTGTATAATATTCTAAGACACATTAAATTTTAATTGTGAAATTACTTAACAAATGCTATCTTGAGTAAGAATTTGAAGATGTATAAAGGTCTAGATATGTATTTTAAAAATCATGTTATTGAAATATATTTACCTATTTAATGTTGAAAAATAATGTTATATTATTTTAATTTGTCAACAAATAATTGACAAACCATCGCATTATCGAATTGAACCTCATAACTTAGAATCAATCCTAATTTTTTTAATATTTGGTAGAAATCAATTTAAATATTTTTCTGCAAAGAAATTCCTGACCATTTTATTGTATTATTACTTGCAAATTCATCTTCGCTTTGCACGATTAATTGCTTACACAAAAAATTTTAATAGATCTAGCATAAATTTAGTAGAGAAATTACAGTTGTATTGGTGCATCTTTGACATATACGTTGAAAATCAGAAATATACACACACACACACATATATATATATATATATATATATATATATATATCTTTCGTAAATATTGAAACAGTGAGCAAAACTACTATCTTACTTATTACTGATAAATCTATGTTTGAGAAGGATAGATTATAACTTTGAGTCATGTGGTGCTCTGTAAGCTTATATTTTGTATGTTTATATTAATGTTTTTATCTGTTGGAAAAGTATTTCTTTTAATTTAAAAACAATTTAGGTATTTAATGCGTTATGGAATGATGTCAATGTAAACAATCTAAAGATAAGATTTTAAAATAGTTTCATCCTACCTTATTTGTGAGATTAATTCCATCATACTTTTCCACACCTGTGTTATTATTGATGATAAATAAATCCACAATTTTTTTTTCTACAAATGTTTTAACATACATTTCAATATATATCGTCATTTCTCTAAGACATTATTGCTAAATGTTCAAAGTACTGTCACAAAATAGAAAATAGCATACTATTGCTAAAACCTGACCAGATAGTTTTCTATTTTGTGATAGTACTTTGAACTTATTCTTTTTTTTTTTGTTATTAAAACTAAATATATTTTTTTATAGTAAATTCATTCTCTTTAGATAAAGAATTTCTTAAAGATATCTATTTGGTTTATCAATTTATTGCAATAACTAAAAAAGCCTATTCAGCTTCTTCAGCCTATGAATTTGGAATTAGGCATAAGCAATTGTTGAAATATTTTGAGCTATATTATATTGTAATATCAAATCTGGCAATTTAAATATAAAGTTATATATTGGAGATCATGTGCATTCTCACACGTATGAACTGATATTAATAATCATGCACAATTATTTTAAATTGTTATTATACAACTAATGTGATAATATTTAAATTGTTGATATTACCATGTGAAAACTATATAATGCTTTGTTTATATCAACAGGCCAATTATTGGGTCCGTATATCTTAACGCAAAGTACTGCTGACAACGAATAGTTGTTGTAGTGCAATGGCGTTACTTTTGGTTACGAGCTGACTGAATCGATAGTCTCATACTTGATTTAGCTACAGGTAAGAATTTTTTTTATTAAGTAAACAGAATAGTACAAATTATTTGACTTACAAGTATGAAAATATGGTTAAAATAATTGGAAAAACTTTACATAGTTGAATGCATATTAACAAACATATTCATTTTTTATATTAATATTATTATACTAATTAACTTTTACTTCCATCCTTATTTTCCGAATTACTGTCATTAAAAAGAAATATAATCGGTTAAATTATATTTGATTATATTAGTTGTATATTGTTGATTGTATATTTAATTATATAATCAATCAATTAGAAACAAAGTAAAATAATATCTGTGCTATACACAGATATATGTCCTGAGAATACCAATTGATTGTTAATGATTAATTGAATTGTATTTGTTATTGAGCATAAAAAGAACTTTTTACATGCAATGCTACATGGATTAATTATTGAGTTCTGTTTCACTTATTTTTTTATAATTTCAATATTTTTATATACATCTAAATAGTTTGATATTTTGCCTGCATAGACTATAAGTATATATTGCATTTATAGGTATTCGAAAGTGTTTTGGAATGTATTACAAAAAAATTATAATGGCTAGTTAAATGCCAAATTGAATGGTATATAGATGAAAACAATTGAGGGATTTTTAGGGAAGGAAATAAATATTTAATCAGGTTTTATTGTTATATATTTCAATATTCTTCTTAATTTTTTTCATTAAAATATATGTCAAAATGTGCCGGGTACAGGCATTTTGCCGGTACTATGTATATACGCCGTAGTAGAAAAAAATATGAATGATTTTTTAAATAGGCTTAAAAAATATTTTGAATTAATAGGATTATGAAAAATTATTTTATAGCATTTTGAAAAAATGCCATTTGGCAGGAAAGATGCAGGTCACCATCTGAAACAAAAAATCAAAACAAATATATATTTACAATAGTATAGATTCTAGTTGAACCTAAAAAATCCAGAAAAAATGAGAAAATTTTCCAATTTTTCACAACTTGAATAAAAAATCATGTTTTTTGATACAAAAGTTCACTGTAGATTGTTTAAAAAGTGGGTTAATTATAACTTTTTTCTTTTATAAGTTTTTTTTAGGTTCAACTAGAATAGAATTTAATCCTGAATACAAAGAATTTTATCTCGTTTCGATAGGACATTTAGTTTTTTTCCTATCTTTCCCGCCAATTAGGAAGAATTGAAAAAATTCAAAACCGAGAAATCGCGCGTCGAAGTTTTCGTTCCGCTTATATACATGCTTGATGCTCACTATTTCTTCTGTAATTCCAAAATAATATGAATTTGTTTCTGAAAATTTAGGAATAATTCTTGGCTAGTTTTGGAAGACAATTTTACCAAAAAAAATCGCTTTTTTTAAGCCTTAAAGCAGGCTACTAGACCCCCCCCCTTTAATATTCTATGAATATTCATTATAATTGCACAAACTCGATTCAATAAAATGAAAATACGGCCTCAGGCTGTATTTCAAATCATCAATTTTATTCTCTGCATTTTGTCAAATATAATGCTATTTCGCTCATCTATTATAAAAATGAATTTTGTTTGGGCTAC